AAAGAAAGTAAGAAATAAGCGCTGGAATCAGGGAACTAGACAAAACAAGTGAAATGTGAGAGGAATATGAGATTTCATGATAAATGCACTTAGCCAGCTAGTGAGAGATTTCTGCAAGGGCCATGATGAGATATTAAATGTAGCTGCAAGAGACCAGGGTCATCTACACTTAGATCAAGCTGAAAAATGTAAAAGCACTGTCCACAAACCTGGAAAAGCATACACTCATCATTCAATGGGAGGAAAAAAATAGAAAGTAACAATGTTGAAAGACAAGTATACTTCATACTGAATCTCATTGTGTTAGATCCAGTCCTTATTTGTAATGTCTTGATTTCTTTTTTGACAGTTGGGGCAAGGAACACTAGGCTATATAAAATGCCAGCTAGCATCTTGAATTACAAAAGGCAGAGAGAAAAACAAGATCTGATTCTGTGGTGAAACCACCCGCTCAGAAAATGCTTTTCAATGTGAAAGTCTGCATGCTATTAACTGTAACCGTAAACCTGAGCTAATATAATGTTGTGTTTATTCCCACTGAGTGGGTTCCTGTGAGTCTGATCTTTTGCATCTCCTTAATCCCTGCACATGCTACTTTATGCATTTTCCTTTCTAACACTCTAGCTTTACTACCTGCTGTCTGTATGCCACATGCAATTTTGGTAAGCATGCAGGATTAGCTTTTTAGCAGTAGCTAGCACTGGCTGGCATTTGCATGCTACCCGCATTCAATTCAATTACTGACTGTGCACAGGGCAGTAATTGCAGTTTCAGGAAGCTAAGGTTAATGAGTAATTTGAGTTTTATGTTTTCCTGGGTCATAAGATACTGATGGATAAAATGTATTTGTATAGGAGTTATTTAAATTGTGGCAATTGTGCTAGACTGTGCTAGCAGCTCGTAAAGAAAGTTTAGGTGTCTACTGAAATTGAAAATGTCTTTGATAATGAAACCCAAAGGAGAATGGAAGAGATCTATTCTGTCCACTTCCACTTCTCTTTTCCCACCAAATGGACACAGCATACAATTTGGTCAGTGAGAAAAGGAGAACTTCAATTTCTCTGCAATAAGACCAACTTTTGCTATGCATTGCAGGGCTCTAAGTAAGCATCATAAGTAAATATTAGTGTTAGAAAGACAAAAGCAAAAAAGCAAAAAAAAAAGAGAGGTTTGTCTGATGTAGGGGTCTAAATGAAAATTAGACATTTGCCTCCAGGTGCCTGCCCATCTCTGGATAGGTCAGAAAGCAGTCCCTGCAGTACATTAGTTATCAGCTTGATCAGCAGGCATCAGGCTTGAAAATTGAATTAGTCATCTAGTTCTAATCAGCTACCATCTAGAAACTGAATTCCCATCAAATCAGTATGGACCTTTTTTGTATGCTTCAGTTTTTTGAAAAACTTTAGGAAGTCAGTGGATTCAGTGGAAGTCTGACTTGTCCCAGCTCTGCCATGAGAAGAGGGGGTTATGCTGCAGTAATGGCTTTCTGGAAGTGGTGTGTCTTTTAAGGTCCTCATCTTCCTATTATAGCAAAACATAAGACTAATTTAAACTAATAAGAGGAAGGATGCAAATGTAAGTAGGTATGTGGGACAGTCAAAACCTCAAATCTCAAATTTTGCACACCAGGCAGTAATTCAACTGAGGGTCAGATCTACCCTGTGTCACTTGCGCCATTCAGTGCCTCATGCTTTCCATCTCTCTTTACATCTCCTCCGTCTCCTGTGAGGGGCTTCAGTGAAGATAGACCTCAGGGAGCTGGACCTGTTTCCTTCCTCCTCTGGCACACTGCAAGTGTAGCATGTCTGGTCAACCTAATCTTTGATCTCCCTTAAAAGCTCTTCATTAGAAAGTATGTCTCAGCCATGGCTAGCACCTTGACCTCTCCCCTGACTGCATGAGCCATTATGTCCCCTTCTTGCTCATTTAACCCTGTACAAGGCTGTGTTAAGGAGGACTTGGAAGCTCAGTAACCACTTATCTGGGCTTTAACTACTCGGTGCGCTTGTCCACTCTTACTTTGTGGAAGAGAATTAGAGGAGCATTTGAGGAGAAAACAGAGAATGGATAATGGATGGGAGTATGTCACAAATAGATTGAATTTAGATGAGAGTGTGAAAGGGGGGAATATAAATGGGAGAGCAAAGGAAGAAGACATGAGACTAATCAAACAAATATTAATGGGGTACAAGGAGAAGTAATTGTGCTCCTTAGTATTAAACCTGTATTGTCAGCCTGTCAGAATTAGTGGGGGAGACGCCTACCTTGTCAACACTAGCTGAGCCTAGCTCCTAGTGTGCCCAAATGAACCATCAAACAGCCTCTTTCTGGTCAAAAGGGGGGCATCTGAATGCTGCACAAGCTGCACACCAGTGCTCCTCTGGCAACCCCAGTGAGCAAGCAGGGCTCAGACGCTTATGTCGGGATCCAAGGAGCTGTCACATGAAAGTCTCATGCACATTTCATACCTATGGGACGAGACTGCCAGGAGCCTCCAGAGCACTACTGCAGTGGGAGCAGAAGAATTAGAGGGGGTGGGATGGAAGGAAGGAAGGCAGGAAGGAAGAAAGAGTAGCATATGAGTGAAAGCATCTTTCAACTAAAGACCACCTGTATGTACTTTGGTTGTTTCTGAAATATATATGTAGCGCTACTTCTGTGGTGGCACAGAAAACTAACCCTCAGCTTTTGTTGAAACTATGTTAATTACACTAGTAAAACCTCTTTTCCTAGTATTGCAATATTTGACATGACGTTCCATGTGATGAGCAAGACAGTAGAACCAAAAGGGAGATGCATTGATGTGGGTAAGTATTTTCTACATTGGTGTCCTGGTTTCAGCTGGGATAAAGTTAATTTTCTTTCTAGTAGTTGGTACAGTGCTGTGTTTTGAATTTAGTATGAAAGTAACATGGATAACACACTGATATTTTCAGTCGTTGCTGAGCAACTTGGAGTAAGTCAAGGACTTTTCAGCTTCTCATGGCCTGCCAGTGAGAAGGCTGGAGAGGCACAAGAAGTTGGGAGGAGACACATCCAGGACAGCTGACCCCAGCTGACCCAAGGGATGTCCCATGCCATATGGCATCATGCTCAGTATATAAACTGGGAGGGGAAGCTGGCTGCTCAGGGGCTGGCTTGGGTACCTGTCAGTTGGTGGTGAGCTATTGCATTGTGCAACACTTGATTTGTATATTCTGATTCTTTTATCATTACTATTATTTACTTTCTTTTCTGTTCCATTAAACTATCTTTATCAGAACCCATGGGTTTGAATCTTCCTCATCTCTCCCCTGTCCCACTGGCAGGGGGACAGTGACTGAGTGGCTGTGTGGTGCTTAGTTGCCAGCTGGGGTTAAACCGCGACAATTGGATGAACCTACTTAAAGGCCATTACATTATACTTTCTTGTTCCTCCCCTGTGGATGGCCGAGCACCTAAGCATATGTCAAGTAGTTTAAAAATGTTGCTGGCATTCAGAAGGGTGGTGTCCTTGACCACTCACCTCTGGTAGAGCTGTAATTAGGCAGTTCCTCAAGTTCTGAATGGGATTCGTGACAGCATTTTCTCCCATCTATTTATAGTTTATGCTGATGCAACATAACAAAGGTATATATTGGCATTTCTTTGCCTTAATACCCCTTTTTTTTTTAAATTTCCACAAAATATTACCTATATTTCACAGTCCTTCTGGTCAGATGAGTGTGATTTCTCATAATAACTAGTAGTTATTTTCTAATAATCCTAGTATTTCCATAACCAAGATGGATGTTTCTAAGGGAATGACTACATGTGTGCTTGCAGCTGTGTTCAAAACATAGTACAGCCAAAGACTGTCATGAGTGTAAGTTACACACCCAAAATTCAGTTCCAAAAACTGTTGGGGCTGCATTTTAAGACCTCATTTTAGTTCCTAGGCCTCTTCATGCAAATAAAAATTCTTGATTTTGCAGGATTAGTCAATGGCAAAACCCAGCGGGAAGATGATTTTTTCTCCCACTGAAACTGTGGGTGGAGGTCTGCGTTTGCATCCTTACTCTGTAACTATTCTCTGTTCCTGGCCAAAGCAGAAATGGTTAGGATTGTGACCCTGAGCCTACTTAAATAATCGCTTAATAAATGTTCTGGTTTTCTCATTATAGACATGAATTTCAGATCTGAGATTCAGGTGTCTCCATAGCTCTTTCCTAGGCTCTACATGATTATATTAGCTCGTGGCTCTAGTCCTGAAAGAGTGTAATTTCATCCTCACATTTCCAAAGATTAATCTCTTCTCATTAACAATAAGGGGTCACATCACGTTGCTAAAAAAAAAAATAGTAACATACATCTGAATTTCCTACCCATGTGAGCAGTGGAAAAATGAACAGGAGTGGGAAGGAGTCATCACATCATATACTTAACTCATCTAAATCTGGATGCTTAAATTAGGTTCTTCCACCAAATGGAATCAGGGCGAGTTATCTCTTTCACTGTTAGGAAAGCCAAGAGGTTCCTAATTTATTTATCAAAATATTTGATTGTATTTGATTATGTATCAAATACCTTAAAAAGGTGCTCTGAATATCTCGTCTTCTCCCCAGCCTCTCAACTTCTTAAGCTATTAACTTACTGAGCCTGATGAACTTTCAGAACTACACCAGAACAACTTCTCTTGAGCTCTAGACCCACGGGGCACAACGAAGAAACTTGAAGAAAGCTGAGATGGAAAAATTTTCAGAAAAAAAATTCCAGAGCTAAAGAGGAGGAGCAGCAGATATGCATCACAGCCACAACAGTAGCTACTGCTCTCAGCCCACATGAACCGTGAGAGCCTAATGAGCAAAAGTGGCCATTCACTTCATAAATATTTGGGCTGAAGGACTGAAGAAGGTCTTATTTTGAAGAACTGACTACAGACAATTGATCATGACGGGGGTAACAAGGTATTTTTTGGAGGCAAAAGTGTGACTCCAGCAGAGCAAGGCTGGCAGGAACTGTCATGGGAAGGGCCCCTAAGCCTACGGTCCTCACAAACGGATGGCCAGCATGCCTTGTGGGGCCGTAAGGGCTCCACTGCTGTGACAACCATTAGCTTCAGCAGCCTAAATGTTGCAGGAACCTTTAATCTGAATCTAGCTAGATGAAAGCTGCTACACGTATAACTAGCAAACTTTGATAACAGTGTAGTTGTCTTCAAAAATAGATCATCTTGGGAACCAAGGTCAAGATGTGATTGTAAGAATTAGAGCCTTTCCTAAAAGTACTGAGGAAAACAAGAACACAAACTGAAAAACCTATTGATTCTTCCATTTTACTACTGATGACTGGCTGCATCAAACTGATCTGCTGGGAGCCATCACAGATAAATCCACAATAAAGGAAACACTCTGGGGACCGGCAGCAGATACAACAGAAACCTTCCCAGAGGAGAGGAGAGAAGAGGTAAGGAATGTAGAACTGCCCTTGTCACTTCTCCTTTGGCAAATGACTAGCTCTCAAAAACCCTAATTAAGTTTCCATCTTTAAAATGTGATTTCCATTTGCTCCCTACAGTTTAAAAATAGTGAAAAGATTTCAGCAATTGATGACACTCTCAGTTGTACTAAATTAGAGTGTAGAGGAATTAGAAATTGCTACTGTTGGTGTCACGTAGTAATGGTCTCTCCTTTCTTCTTGCCCTTGCACCAGGTTGCTTTTCCCCACCACCACATTCCTGGGCAGCAGCCACATACCAGAGAGGCAAATCACCCGCCACTGGTGCTCAGTGGTCAGAGTAAGTTTTCTATCACTTTCGGATTCATGTAGTCTTTGAAGCCCTTCACTCAGGTGTACCCACAGGTCTGTACCTCCAATCTTTCCTCACATACACAGTCTTGTGAAAGAGGGAACAATTTTGCCTTTATGAGTGTTTTTGACCACAGCTTACCTTAACTGACTGCAGTGGAAATTCTCTAGATTTGCACCGCTGTGAACTAAACCAGGCTTGGGGGATCTGTGTGTGTGGGTTATAGACTCCTTAATTGCCTGTGGGCAGCATTGTCCTCTGACTCAGAAATATCTTTGCCTTGGGAAAAAATAATATACCCCCTAAAATTCTTGTTTGTCTCCGTTGACAGACACAATCTCTTTAATGTTGCCCTGCATTTGTCTTAACACAATTTATTGGACAAACGGCAAAAAAGGCTGTTAGTTGTTTCCACTGAAATTTGTGAGTGATAAACACATCTGTTATACTCCTGTACAATAACTGGGCACATTTTCAATTAAATAGTCCCCTAATTCAAAAGCATCTCACCTGCTCTCAATATGACAGCAACAAAAACGTAGCTATGTGCTTTGTTTCTGGCATAGTTTCAGCTCTTCCACATTACTTAAATCATGAGCATATATTCCAGTTAGCTTAGGCTTCAGGCTTTAAAAGCTCAAAGTGAGTAATGAAGGGAAAGCAATCTGATTAGCTGGTGGAGCTGACTAAAAGGCACCTTCATTACGAAGGAGCTTAAAAAAGGAATAAAACTATATAAAATGGATTAAAGGTATAATAATAACGATAGTATCAAACAGCATAACAACTGAAATTAATATTTAATAGATGGTACAGGCATGTCCATGGCTTTATATTCTTCTGTTTTAATGATCTTAACCACAGCTTGAGGTCCTTTGTCTTGTCTCCTTCTACTGACATCAGCTGGAAGAGACAGAGACGAAAACAAGGGTAATTTCCCCATGGTCATTGCTTGGCACTATTTCTGCTTTGCTCAGCCATGAACTGAAGTTGAAAGGATGAAGTGCTGTCAGTCAGACTGATTCTTCCCTCTAACCTGTCTTACCTGGGTTAACCACTCAGCCAGTCACCAAGGAAACATGTAGCTCCTTTGCCCATCTTACAGCCACCCCACAGCTTCATGTTGAGAACATCACCATAATCTCATTAGGACATTGAATTTACCATTGAAGCTTGAATTCCCCTAACAGGAGGGGAGTGGACTAATGCAATTAAACAAATTAGTGTTTTGAGCCACTGCATGGTATCTGTACAATACCATGAGCAAAGAGTAGCTAGTTTTCTTCCTTTCTTAGAAAAAAAAAAAAGATAACAAACAACAAAACCAAGACTCCAGTCCTCTCTCCACGTTATGTTCAGGGAAATAGTGCAGTCTCCTGTCATCTGTAAAGGTCTTTACAAGTGGGAAGGTAATTATTCACTTGACCAAAAACTTGAATTGTTTCCCTTTATTTTTCCAAGTGCTCCCATCCCAGTGGTTCTGATTATTTTTATCAGTGTAACGTTTATGCTTCTAAAGGTAAAGTGGATAAACCCAGAACATTTTGTTCTTCTCTTATGGTATGTAACAGTGGTTACCAGATAAGAACAAAACTCCTGTTGATTTCAAATCTATTCTGATATGAAGTGCTTCTTAAGTGCTATGAATAACTATTTTAAAATACGCCAGATTTTCAGGAGATAATTCCGGCATATTCAGTAATTCTCTAGAAAGGCAGATTATTAAATGCCTAAGGCTGCGCTTTTCTGCCTTTTGTTGTGGGGTTTTGAGGCTAATCCAGTTCCCTCCTCCCTCCCTCACTCTGCCAAGTAAACAAAGCCGCAAGAGCGAACTGTAGCAAGAATCAGGAACCATGAATCTTTGAATAATATTCTGGCATGTGAGTTTCCAAAGGCAACATATTTCTCTGGGAGTACTGGGGAGAGAGAGAGGGAGAGAGGGAAGGAAGGGAGCAGTGGTACCCTCCTGAGGATAATGCTGCCGTCTCCATTACAGCATTTCTTCCTGGGGAGGTAGAAGATGGAATGACACGGGTAGGATCTAGAAGCCTCTTGTGCATTTTGATTACCAAAGAGCTTATGCCGCTGGCTGCTCGCTGCCTTCATCTTTGAATGGGAAAGGCAGGAATAACAAGTGTATTTTAGTAGATGTTATTGTGCTACCACTCATCTCCTCACAAACAAATCGCAGTCTGCCACCAGGCACTGGAATCAGAAGGACTGAGAACATGGGTTATTACTAAATAAGGGCATTGGTTATACACTCAACTTTATGTAATACATGGTTCCTACCATAAGCTGCTTACAAAATAGATATATATTATGTAGGCAGTATGCATAGTCCCAAAGGATAGCGTAATCTTAGCAGTTTTCCCTGAAAATGCAAGGGACTTCAAGACTGAGTCAGTACTGAGAATATCTGTCACAAACTTGAAAATAGAATGTAGTATGGATAATGCTGCAGTTATTTGAAAAGTGTCATGAAGCTCAGCATTTCAGTAGTCACAAACTCCCAAAATGTCAGAGCTGAGCTGGTACTGAAGAGAAGCTGAAATGTGCTGAAACAGAAAATGCAATACTGAGGCTTACAAACAAAATGAGCTCTGCACTGTGATAGCAACAGCCATACAGTTTGGATTAAAGTATTTTGATATTTATGGTATCAGATCAGATGAGGACAAATTAAAAAAAAAAATATGTTTTTAAATACCTTTTTAGCTCCTGATACCATTACAAAATAGAACCAGGGGTTGAATTATTTTCCTATGTAAGTTCTTGCGTAACATCACTGTAAAGTGGTCCTGGTTTGCCTATTTATTTTTTTCCTTTTATCATGTTTGGATTTAAATGTAGCCATAATCCTGCATATCCTCTTTGAAAAGCTTAGATCCATAATGTATTGTGCAGTATTCTTTAAAGCGCTTTGCTCTATAGTGTGGGGTAGCCTTCAGTTAACAATACAGATTTCAATTCTTAACCTTACATTTGATAGTTTTTATTGGATTATATTCTTCATTTAATACAATGTAAAATTTCAAATATGCATACTAATTGAGACAAATTATACCCAGCAAAAATATTAGCATTATTTAATATCACATATGAGATAAAACATCCAGTAGCAACACATATTTATGGGCAAATTCACCAAGATGCCAAAGAACAAAAAGTAAAGCATATCATCTGGGAATACTGAGTTTACATGGGGCACAGTAAATAGTCTTTAAATGGAAACCTTTGTCTCACACTTAAAACAAGTCATGCCCTGAGTTTACAGCTTATATTTTCCTATGAATTTTCCCTAATAGTTTATATTTTCCTGGAGGGAACATTCGGGGAGGGGAGGGGAGGGAAACGAATGCAGGGACATGCTTAAGAGAAAGCATCATAAAAGAAGAGAATCTAAATGCTGAAAATGAACCTGCCTTTTTATCCTCTTTTTGTATTTCATGCAGTCACATGAGCACAATAGCTGTTCATCTAGACCACAGGATTCATTAATAACTTTTTCATCTTTTGTGGAGTCTGTTAAAATAGTACATGGCTTTGCCTCCTGAGATAGTGAACTCTTGTCTTGAATGGAAAAAGGATGGTGTACAGAGTCCAAAATTAAAGGAACTAGAGAGAACTTACAAACTGTGATAAGCTTAAAAGTAATTAGCAAGAAGTACCAATTTGGTAGATCTTAAAGACCTTTCTTGGTCTTCAGTGGAGAACAGGAGTGTTATAAAAATAGATAAACATCTCTGGAATGTGACAACCCAGATTTTTAGTACAAAAGTCCAAAAGAAATGAGGAGGCAACCTGTTGTGTGGCATGCAGAGACACTGCCGCATCTGATTCCATTGCTCTTGACGGACAGCAAAAAGTATGAGTCTGGTGTGCATTCTTCTTCATTCAAGTGATGTCTGTCATGCTATAGTGCTTTATACTATTGTTCACTGTTCCCTTTATTGCTAAAGGGAAGTGTCCCAATTTTAATATCAGTGCTATGCCTGAATAAATCCCATATGCCTGTTTTTTGGGAAAAACAACATTGATTCATGCAGAGAAGGTGACTAACAGCAAAGCAGAATACAGGGGTAAAAAAAATAAAAATAATGGATCCTTAGTGTTCCTCCCTTTGCAGAAAAGGCTCTAGTTATGATGCAAATGATACAAAATTAATGTATCCATGAATTAAAAATGAGAGGTGGCATAAATGTAAACTCACTGTTGTTGAAATGGAACTGCACTGCCGTGTTTCTCATGAATTGCCACATTATGCTAGCGCTCCTCAGAGCAAAGCTGCTCACCCTTAGAGGGGTGAATGGCTTCTGCACCACTGAACACAGAAAGCAGAGGGGCATGCTAGTACGACAGAGGTCTGTGATATGTGAGGTGGATTTGTTAGTGGCACTTCCAGCAGGTGTTGTACACAGCCACAGTGTCTCACGGAGCCTCTAGCCAGCCCCTTCCTCCTCCCCGCCCTCCATCGCCTGGCTATTCTTCATCCACTTGGAAAGGGTGTGTCTCTTCATCATTTTGCAAGCATATGCAAAACCCAAATATGCTGAATACATTTTTGAAATAATTATTTGCTCATCTCTAGTCCCCAATGTTGCATGGGTCTAAATTTAATTTACCGTGAGGTTGTCTATTACATAACTTCGTTAAGGTTTTCCTAGAGTCTGTCATAGTTTTGAGCCACCAGAATGGTATTTTACTGTGAGCAGCTTTGGTGAATGAGGATGCTCACTTTATCTTCTAAATTGCAAGTAAACAGGTTGAAATAGCCAGTTGTATTGTGATATTCCTTGACAAGTTCAACAATTAACAGCTTTCCATTTTTGCCAGTTATCCCTACATACTTGCCACCTTGCCATAAATTTTTGGCTCATGACAAGATGAATTGTCGAGAACCTCCAAAGTCAGATTTTATCAAAACTCTTCAGAAAATTTGAAATAAATGGTTTATTGTGCATGTCATAAGCTCTTGGTATTTGGAAGAAAGTTAGATATTCTATGGAAGTCTCAATGGCTTCATTTTATTATTTCAGATTAATGTCTATGCTACATCCAATGCTGAATCATCTTCTGTACTCAGAGTGGTAGCTGGTTTGTGATTTCATTTCTGTGCTGACGCCCCATCTTGAAAGCGGAAATCTTCCTACTCTTTTTTTCCTCTGGGCTTAATGTAGTCTTATCCAGGCAGTCACAAGCTGTGCCACCAGAGTCAATGGATTTAACCTTCTGCAGGGAAACAAGCAGCAGAGCCAGCACATGCAGGGCTCCAGCTCACACTCCAGCCTGCACTCCCAGATCATTCATATGGCCCAGCTAGGTAGAGATAAGCAAACCACCCAGCTCACCAGTCCCTTCTTGGGGGACAAAAACCCTTACAAGGCAGCCAAGCCCATGGCAGCACAGATAGCAGAAAGGGTGGAAAACTGAACCCCAGCTCAGTCTTCTCCCAGCTCAGGGCTGAGGGGCTATGGTCAGGGTGAGAACCTCTGCCAGCAAATGTGAACAACATTGCCTGCATCCTGCTGTGAAGGGGGCTGGTTCGCACTCCTGCCGCAACAATAACACTCCTGGAACACCTACTCCATGGCATCCCTGCAATAAGTGCTTGTTCTTACCAAGGATTAGGAAAAACTAATTTAGGAAGTTGCAGTGTCAGTGTAAGAAAGACAGCTGTGTGAACTTGTAATCACTCCCAGATCAAGATACATATACAATAAACTGAGGGTTTGGTTTATCTTTAATGTAAAAAGATCTTTGCGTGAATATCGGACTAGTTATTGCACAGCTAAGGCATATACATGTAACATCACAAGACTAGTCAATGCTAGCACTGTGCTGTCCTCTCACAATTTTAAATAAAGACTATTAGAGCTTTAATTCCACTTCCAAGCAAGAAATTGACAAAGAGGTATTTCGTCCTTCAGAAGCTGGAGAACAGACTCCAAGCTCTCTTGCAAGATAAGATTACTAGAAAACTTTTCTTCCTCCTTATTTTGCCTGCCTTGGCAAGACACTTCAACACAATTCTGAGCTCGACTCTGCAACCTGAAATGCACTAAATCAATTAGTTATCATATTGTATCTTATTCTTTCTAAAACACCAGCATTTCTGGTAATAAATGTAATAAATATAAAGAACTGCTTCAATCTAGCTTCAAAAAAGAAAAGTGCCCAAGTGTTGTAAAGATACAATAGATGTCAAATTTTGAGCCTTTTTTGAAATTCTACTAATTCAGTGCTAAGGACACTTCTTGCATATGCTACAGGTGTCTGCTGATCCAAAAATAT